TTATTATTATTATTATCATCATCATCATTAATATTATTTTTTTCCCATCTGGCTTTTTCCCCGGGGGGGCTTGCGGTGTGTCAAGGAAGCCGGCGCACTCCCAGGAGCTGGGATTATTTGCACAACGTCTGTATATTGAGTTCTCGATCCTGTTTTAGTTTTATTTTTTCAGCGCAGAGGGGTGGTGGTTTGGTTTTTTCCCCCTCCACGCCACCCTTTTCTTGGGTTTTTCCCCCACCGCCGTCAGCACCACCTCACCCTCTTCCTGTCCCATCATGGCCCGGATGAACCGCCCCGCGCCGGTGGAGGTCTGCTACAAAAACATGAGGTTCCTGATCACCCACAACCCCACCAACGCCACACTCAGCACCTTCTTGGAGGTAAGGAGGAGAGGCTGGAAGTGGGGGTCTGGGACCCAGCTGCATGTTTTGGGATTAAAAGCCCACGTAGAGATGCAACAGGGATCAACCCTCCATAGGATGAGGCAGCAGCACGTCCACTGTGGTACCATGACCGCGGTGGCATCCTGTCGCAGTGGGTCCGATCACCGCCGGCTTTTTATGGCGCTACATTTTGGAGGACCCCAAGCGCAGCGTTTGGGCACGGTGGAGATGGAGCAGGGTTTCCCCGTTCCCGTTGCATCCCCTGCCAGCTCCACCAGCACATCACATCAAGGGGCTTTGCAGTGATGCACATGGATGCACACAACCTCCCCTGCATCTCCCAGCACCTCGATAAGGACTTTTCATCCCAAATATCCAAGTGTCTTTCCGATGTCCAGAGTGCATTGGGTGGTGCACAAGGAGCTGGAGGGCTCGGTGCCCTGCCTGGGAGCGCCGCGTCCGGCACTGGCAGCAGCTGGGAGTTAGGGGGGGATTAATGGATGTGTGTCTGCGGTCCAGGGTAAAAGATTCTATGATTCTATGACTTACTCTTTTTATCAGTGCCTGGGGGAGAGGCAACATCCTGCAGGTTCGGTCGAGCTGACACAAGCAGCTTTTGCTTCCGAGAACGCGTTTTGGGATGTTGCTGTAATTGCAGAGGGACCTGGGGCTGCGCACAAGCCCAACAAGGGACTTTTGCCGTAGACCTGAATCACGTGGAGGTTTGACAGGCCAGTACCAGACACATCCTCCAAGATAAAGGAAACTCCCCCACTGGCACATCCAAAAAAGCATGTGTGAGCACCACCAGCTCAGAGAGCCACAGGAAGGGGGGCGGGGGGGGGGGAGCGGGGGCCAGCCGCTCCACGCCCCTGCATCCAACGCACAAGGCGATGGGGATGGCACCAGTGGGAAGGGGCAAACGTTCCCCTTTCCTCTAGCCTCTTCAATTTTTGGCCAAGCTACTGAGCGCGTAGGGGTTTGCCACGGTCTGGCAAGCACGCACAGGGAGGGATGGAGATGGATCGCTGAAGGGGACGATCTCACGTGGCGCCTGGCGGGGCCGAAGACGTAATCCCAGGGCAATCCTTGCGGCGGGCGATAAGCCACGCTGGAAACAGCCCAAGTCCCGCGCCTAAGCCTGCAGCGCATCGGAGCGATGACTGGATACAGCAACGAGGTCAGGAAGGAGTCCCTGTGCAATCTGCAGGATGCTGAGCACGGTCAGCGAGGTGCACTACGACGTCCCCCGTCCCCCCCCCAGCCACCTCCGTGCATTTCTGCAGTGGAAGTTGAAACCTCACCAGGCGCAAATAATTTCTCCTTTGGGGGATTTGCAGCCACATCAGGGACGTTTCTTTGCCTGGGGTGTAAAGGGGCCGCTGGTGCTGCCGTCGGGGCTTAAAAATAAACGGCACCGTTGGCGCTCGCAACTTTAATGAGCCATGGAGGTGCTGGGTAAAAATTCTGTCATGGCCACGCAGCTTTGGTGCCCCGGGATTTAATGTTTGCTTGTGCTTCCCAGGCTGGATGGATCACAGCGGATTTTGCTCGTGGGTCCAGAGATGTGGCACGGCACTGGTTTAGGGTCCGCGTGGTCATAGCAGGGCTCGGATGTGTTGGGGTTAACTCGGGTGCGACCCGCAGGGTTTCTTCAGACCCCTCCTTCTCCTTGCCTCCCCAGGACCTGAAGAAATACGGTGCCACCACGGTTGTACGAGTGTGTGAAGTGACCTATGACAAGACCCCCCTGGAGAAGGACGGCATCACCGTCATGGTAGGTTGCCCACCCTCCCTCATGCCTAAATACCCCTATCCCTGGGGTCTGCTAAACACCCGCGTTTCGGATAGACCGAATCAGCATCGCACGTGCCCGGGAGCGGAGTTTGAAGCCCAACTTCATCCTCAGGGCAAGGCAGGCGAGCTCCCCGCTCCCGGGCTGAGGTGGGGCTGGTGCTTTAAAAAAAGAAAGTGCTGCCCACGCACCCGAAACTGTGACTCATAAAGGTTGAGTCGGCAGCTGCCTTCTCTGCCTGACGCTCGGCCTTTAAAGCATCCAGGGGATGAAAGTGCCTGATCCCACTTGGAAGATGCGCGTGGTTCCCGTTACCCCCGGCGTTATCTTATCCGGGGGAGGTGCGGGTTTTTTGCTCTTCCAGCAGCTTGCCGGTATAGCTCTGGGGGATGAAAGGGAGCAGGCAGCAAGCAGGAAAAGGCAAGGAGGCAGAGCAGGCAGCTGCCTGGGCTGCATCTTGGCTGATAAGTAATTGGAGATGATGTCAGGCGTGATTGCCCTGCCAAGGAGTTCAGCTCCAGCTGGAAAGTGAGGCTCTGCTCATTATTTAGGAAGGGTTTGGAAGCGCCTCGTGTCTCCTGGGGTGGTCCTCTGTGTGTAGATCCTCTAAATATAGTTCTCTTTGTATAATGTATATCCATAGAGAGAGATAGCTATATCCTAAATCCTCTGGGATATAGGTAGATATAGATATAGATCCTAAGTCTCTCTCTAGATACAGATCCTCTAGATGCAAATCTCTTTAGATATAGATGCTATAGGATGTGTCTTACAAAGATAGCTGTATCATACATACATAATCTGTATGTAGGAGATCATCTCTGCTCTCTTACAGACCAAATTCTGCCTTTTACCCTGTTTCTGGCTGGAATGCTTCAGTCTGAGTTTCTATATCTAGGATATACATACCTCTCTAAGTATCTTCTATAGAGAGATATCTATATCTAGGACATGTTTTATATATGGAGATATCAATATCCTAGATATGGAAACTATATAAGATACTGTATAAGGTATATCTTATCTAGCAAGATATCTATATCCTATGTATCTATGGATAGATATATCTGTGCAGATACAGAGATATCTCTCTATATACCTGTATCAAATATATCTCTGTATATAGACTGCATCTATATATTCTATCCCTTTCTTTGGGGAATAGGCACAAGCTAGTTGAGGCCTGACTCTGGTGTGGTGTGTCTGGGTGCCAGCATCCGCATCCGCAGTGCCCACATGTGTGGTGGTCCCATCCTGGATGTGTCTCCTGGGTGTTTTGGATGCCTCTTCTGCTTTCGGCTCCTCTGTGTGCCACGGGGGCTTCCGAGCAATCTCTTGAGCTGATGGCAGTTACCAAGTTGTGCCAGACACAGGTGTACCATGCCGTGGACATCTGCTTGGCAGCTCTTCCAGCAGATCGGAGATGGGGCTGAAATTCTGCCGCAGAACTGGCACTGTGTGGGTTTCACTGTAGGAAGGTTTATGGTGCAGGATGGATAGACTGTGTTGGATATACCAATCGTGTTTAATATCTTCATCCGTGACGTAGATGGTGGGATTGATTACATCCTCGGCAACTTTGCCGATGACAGCAAGCCGAACAGTGCAGTTGATACCCTAGAGTGAAGGGATGCCATCCAGGGGGACCCTGACAGGCTTGAAGAGTAGGCCCATGAGAACCTCACGAAGTTCAACATGGCCGAGTGCAAGGTCCTGCATATGGGTTGGGGCAATTCCCATTATCATGAATGCATTGAGAGCAGCCCTGAGGAGAAGGACTTGAGGATATTGGTTGATGAGAAGCTCAACATGACCTGGCAAAGTGTGCTGGCAGCCCAGAAAGCCAACCATATCTTGGGCTGCATAAGAAGCATGACCAGCAGGTCGAGGGAGATGATTCTTCTCCTCTACTCCAGTCTCGTGAGTCCCCACCTGGAGTACTGCATCCAGCTCTGGGAATCCCAGCACAAGAAAGACATGGAGCTGTTATAGCAGGTCCAGAGGACCATGGTCAGAGAGCTGGAACAGGGTCAGAGAGCTGGAACACCTCTGCTGTGAAGACAGGCTGAGAGAGTTGGGGTTGATCAGCCTAGAGAAGAAGAGGCTCCAGGGAGACCTTATTGCAGCCTTTCAATATATAAAGGGAGCTTATAGGAAAGATGGAGAGAGACATTTAGAATCATAGAATCGTTTAGGTTGGAAAAAACCTTTAAGATCATGAAGTCCAACCATTAACCTAACACTGCCAAGTCCACCACTAAACTACGTCCCTTAGCACCACATCTACATGTCTTTTAAATACCTCCAGGGATGGTGACTCAACCACTTCCCTGGGCAGCCTGTTCAACTGATTCAGTGAAGAAATTTTTCCTAATATCCAATCTAAACTTCCCCCTGGTGCAACTTGAGGCCATTTTCTCTTGTCCTATCACTTGTTACTTGGGAGAAGAGACCAACCCCCACCTGGTTACAACCTCCTTTCAGGTAGTTGTAGAGAGCGATCAGGTCTCCTCTCAGCCTCCTTTTCTCCAGGCTAAACAACCCCAGTTCCCTCAGCCGCTCCTCATCAGACTTGTGCTCCAGACCCTTCACCAGCTTCGTTGCCCTTCTCTGGACACGCTCCAGCACCTCAATGTCCTTCTTGTAGTGAGGGGCCCAAAACTGAACACAGTACTCGAGGTGCGGCCTCAGCAGTGCCAAGGCCTCACCAAGGCCTGTAGTACTTTATCAAGGCCTGTAGTACTTTATCAAGGCCTGTAGTGACAGGACAAGGGGCAACAGTTTTAAACTGAAAGAGGGTAGGTTTAGATCAGATATAAGGAAGAACTTTGTTATGGTGCGGGTGGACACTGGAACAGGTTGTCCAGAGAAGTTGTGGGTGCCCCATCATTGGAAGTGTTCCAGGTCAGGTTGGATGGGGCTCTGAGCAACATGATCTAGTGAAAGATGTCCCTGCCCATGGCAGGGGGGCTGGACTCAATGATATTTGAAGGTCCCTTCCACCTCAAACCGTTCCATGATTCTATGATTTTGTGGTACAGCGTGTCATCCTCAGTGTGAACCCAGAGACCTGCACTCATGGCTGAAGCGGTGCTTTCCTGGCACCGCAGGGAGGAGATGGTCTTGCAAGACGAACCTGTGCTGTGCAGGGTGGGCTGGCTCAAGCATTAGTACACCCTGAAGCCCATCCTGCTCCTTTCCTAGCAAAGCCCGACTGAAATCACATTACCTGCTCAAACACTGAAGTGAAGCTCAGCAGCTTCTTTTGCCATCTTACACCAAGGATGACTCCAGCACGGCAGCTTAGTGACTCACTCCTCAAACGGAGGATTACAGCCCCGTGCTTCCCACCCGCCGGGGCTCACCATGCCACATCCCCTCCAAGCGATGCTCCCCTGCCCATCCCTCTCCCCTGCTGGTGCATAGCTGGTGGTCACACTCCTCCTGTCAAATCCATTTTGGGAGAGAAATTCCCATCTTGGGAGAAATGTACAACCTCAACTGGCTGCCATTGCCCATGGGGAGAGACCATCCTTTCCCCAAAATGCTACGGCAGTCGCAAGCAAGCAGGGAGGGAAGCGGGGGGACTCTTTTCCCACAAAGCAGAGCTCAGGGCCTGGGGGTGCTTGATGCAGCACCCGTTTTACCCCAGTCATCACCATGCCCTGATGTTGAGTCCATGCAGCTCAAGGATGAAGCTTGGAAGAAGATCGGTACTTTTTTTTCTCCTTTCCTGAAGGATGCTATTTAAATGGCCCCGTTTGGATGGATCTCCCTCCAAAAAGACAGAGGACAGAGCCCTTCACTTCTTTGTATGGTGGCATTAGGGGGTCCCTCGAGCATCATTTCAGGGTTTGTGTGTTTACCTTCCCTCCATGTGTTGCAGCAAGCTGAGTTTCAGTACCACATCAGAGATTTCAGCCATTCTCCAAGCTTTGCACTCCTAAGCGCTGGATTTAGGCAGGAGCTGGCAGGGGGAAGGATGGGAGTTGCATTACACCGAAGCTCACTGTGGTCATCCGAAATGGGGAGGAGGCAGGCGATGGCCACCCTGCTCTGCAGAGGCAGGAGGACATGGGGACCATCTTGCAGATCCTGTAGGTGCTCCTGACGGCTGAACCTGTCTGTAGGAGATGGGAGGACCCCAGACCTAGACTATTATGGCTGCAAACCCTGAGCTGAAGCAGCCAGGGGATTTCTGCATGCCGGACAGCGCTGCAAAACCTGCTACATCCCTGCAGAGCTGCACTGCGAGCCCAGTTCCTGGCACACACATCTGCCTCTCCACTGCCAAGGTCCAAAACACCATCACCCTGAGTCAAAGCAACCCCTTGACTTTTTCCCCAGGGTCTGACAACATTTCTCTCCTCCCCTCGACCTTGCAGGATTGGCCATTCGATGATGGAGCGCCTCCCCCCAGCAAGATAGTGGAAGATTGGCTCAACTTGTTGAAGACCAAGTTCTGCGAAGACCCCGGCTGCTGCGTGGCTGTGCACTGCGTGGCCGGCCTGGGGCGGTAAGTCAGAGCGCAGCACCCTGGCTGCCACCCACCCATGAAGGAGGGAGAGGGAAAACCATGCCTGCTCTCCTCCTTGCCTTCCCTAGTCCTCCTTTGAGCAGGGTTTTTGCATGCAGTGGAGACCTTGGTGGGAACAGGCGTTGATGGAGGACACTGCTGCCTGAGCTCCTCCTTGCACTTCTCATGGCCAAATCCTGGGCATGGGGGAGACCTGGGGTACTCAGCACTGTCCTACCAGTGCCCTGTGGCTTGTTTTGCTTTTGCTAAGAGCTTATCATGGAGGTAGTGCGAAATGCCTCCTGCTACAATGGGGAGCCGATGCTTTTCGAGAGCTGCTGCATTTTACTGCTCCCCCCCGCTGCAAGTCAGGTTTTGCATGTGTATTTACATCCACTTTTCCGATAGATTTGTCTCCAAAGTCCTCGTGCTCATTAGAAGAGCATCAAACAGCTGCCAGCCCCTAGGGGTTTTAACCCAAAATCCTCCTTGGGGCAGCGCTTACAGCCAAATGGCAAGAAATTACAAACTAAAAGCAAGCGCTGGCGACTGCTCGCAATGCCACCATTACAGCCCCGCAGCGTGTCCCCCCGCCCCAGGACAGGATGTCAGCCTCTGGGCTGCGTGGCTGGGGAGTGACCGCCACCGCCTTTGCCTTTCAGCGCTCCTGTCCTCGTCGCGCTGGCCTTGATCGAGAGCGGGATGAAGTACGAAGACGCCATCCAGTTCATCCGACAGTAAGTCGAGCGGCATTTTGGTGTCGGGGGGAGAAAGCAGCCCTTCTCCAAGGGAATGGGGAGATCTGGCATGTTCCCAGGGTTTTTTCAGGGCACCAGGGTTGCTTTTCTCTCCTTTTGGAGGGGGCGAGGAAGAAAAGGGAGGGCCAGCATTTACAGATTAACAGATTCACAGATTGGTAGGGGTTGGAAGGGCCCTCTGGAGATCATCTAGTCCAACCCCTCTGCTAGAGCAGGATCACCTAGAGCAGGTTGCACAGGATTGCATCCAGGTGGGTTTTGAATCTCTCCAGAGAAGGAGACTCCACAACCTCTCTGGGCAGCCTGTTCCAGTGCTCCGTCACCCTCAGAATAAAGAAGTTTTTCCTCATATTGAGATGGAACTTCCTGTGTTCCAGTTTGTGCCCGTTGCCCCTTGTCCTGTCCCTGGGCACCATAGAGAAGAGTTTAGCCCCTTTTTTTCTAGACATCCACTCTTTAGATACTTATAAGCGTTGATCAGATCCCCTCTCAGTCTTCTCTTCTCCAGGCTGAGCCCCCTTTGCATCGGGGCTGCGGGAGGCTGAGGTGGCAGCCGGGAGCATCCCTGGGGGCTTTTGGCAGGCACCCCGCTTTTGGGCAGCCTCCCCAGGCATTTCTTCCCTGGCTCTCTCCATGTCCTAAAGACTCGCAGGGTGGATGAGCAAGAAAAGCTGCTGGGGTCAGTGCCCGTCTCCGTCCCTGGAGGACGCACACAGCTGCAGCCTCCAAAATCCCTTCCTGCTCCAGGCAGGGGTGTTCAGCGCCCTGACAGGGGTGAGTTTGGGGTGTAGGGTCTTCTCCCGCCGCACCGCTGACTGTGCCGGCCCTTTTCTGTTCCCGCAGGAAGCGCAGAGGAGCCATCAACAGCAAGCAGCTGACATACTTGGAAAAATACCGACCAAAGCAGAGACTCCGATTTAAGGACCCTCATAACCACAAGAACAAATGCTGCATCATGTAACCTCAATGACCTCTTGCCAAAAATCCGTGCACACAGACACCCGGGCACTCGCACGCATCCCACCCCCTCAACCCCCCCCTGGCCCAGCCCTGTGCACCCCACGCGCTGCCCCACTGCCAGGGCTGGGGTGGGGGGACGTGGAGCACCACCAAGGTGTTCCAGCACCCACAGCACCGTCGTCTTGTCGGACCCCTGAAAAAAGCTGCTCTCTCCAGCTACAGCCCCGAGGAGAGGGAAGGCAGCGCTGCCCTTTGACTCTTGGCGTTAGCAGGCAATGAGCTCACGTGACGGTTCTTCATCGTCTTCCTCTTCCTCCTCCCTTTTCCCTCCCGTTGCACTGAGAGGGATGGGTGGAGGGTGCTCGGTTTGGGGTGATGCAGGCAGGGCTTTGCCAGCTGAGAAGGGATGGGGAGCAGGAGGGCCGGACCACCCCCGGAAAATCCCTTTCCCACCTCTTCCGTATAAATAAGGGCTGCAGCAGCGGGGATGGAGGTGGGGATGGTGCAGTGGCCTCAGGGGGAGAAGCAGGGAGGGGTGAAGGGGGCTCGTAGCTTGGTGCTGGCCTCGTAGCCATGGGAAGGGCTGAGCTAAGTCCCCTCCAGCACCATTCCCTTTCTGCTGCCCCCTCTGCCACTTCACCGCCTCCCCGTGGCCTCGACGCCAGCCGGGATGCTGCAGACGGGGCTCCCTGGGGACTTGCTGCAGCGAAGGCAGAGGCGCTGGGAAACTTGGGAGACCATGGCAGGGCTTTGAGGGACCCAGCTTTGCCATGGTGCAGGGTCAGCACTGGGTCCCCCAAAGTGTGGGGTGCTCTTATTTATAGCTTCCAAATTCAATGCACAGGGTGGTGGGTTCTCTCCTGTCACGTTCCCATCACCGCGCCACGGCACAAACCCCAATTCAGGCTGCGATGCCCTGGGGACGCAATGTGTATCTTGAGGCACGTCCTCATCCTCCACCACTGCGTTTGCTGTAGCTGTCCTGGGGGATTTTGGGTGCTCCTGGCAAGAGCACTTCACCAAATTTTGCACCTGCCTTTCTCACACCCGGTGGCATCTGTAACGCAACGCCTGGCACCCCAAACCCCCCCCCAGCACGGGACCTGGTGGGGTGGACTCGGAGGTGCCCTTGAGCCAGGACGTTAAACATCTCTTAACTTTATGCCTTTGAACGCTTGCAGCACCTGGAGCGGTGGGCATGTAGGAGATGTGGGGGTGTTTTTTCTTTTGACGAGGATAAGAAAAAATTTGCTAATTAAAGGAAAAAAAAAAAACTTAAAAAAAAAAACCTGTTTGTCTTCTGCACGTCCTCTGGCCTTTCTTTCTCCCATCGCTGCCCGGCAGAGCCTGGGAGGTGACCCATGGCCCCCCCAGACTGATCCTCGGCACCGGGTCACAGCCGGCCGCCATTTGTCACCAGGGCATACGTGTGGCCCAAGGGATGCTCCAGGTATCCTCTGGGCTCGCTGCTGCTCACCCCCCACAGCTGCAGAGGATCGCAGATGTTGGGGCAAGGGAGGGCTAGTCATCCGGCATCTTGTGGTTTTAGGCTGCCCAACTTAAGATGCCTTCAGTGCCCTGTGTTGGGTATCTCCAAAGGTTTGTGTGCCTTCCGAAACATAGTATCCGGAGACATTTGCTTCAGAGGGTTCATCTCTTGGGATAAGTGGTTAGGAAGGCTGGTTAGACGCTTTCAGTACCTGCAGAAGGGTAGGGGACAGTTTGTGCCACCGCACATGGGCAGAGGGAGCTCGGAGCCGTTTCCAGAGCCACTTTCTGTCCTGATGGGAGCCAACCCCACTGCATGGCAGGGATGGCCATCCCATGGGATGGGCCATGGTGCTGAGCGAGGTGGAGACCCTCCACGCATGGCCCCAGAGCTGTCATACCCCACACCTTGGGCTTGTCCAAGCCCCCACATTGTGGGACAGCCCTCAATCCCTTGAGTTTCTCCTGCCCTGTTCCAGGCTGTTGGTTCCTATGTCTCGTGGGGAAGGTGGCGGTGATTGAAGGTTCTGCGTTGATTGGGGAGGATGAGCAATTGGACTGATAAAAAGGCCTGATCCTGTATTGCAACATTCCCACTGGGTGGGCCACCATCCTCTTCCTGCCCCGTTGTGTCCTCCTGCTGCTAAAATAGGTGCTGCTTCATCCCCAGGGGCAGTAGGAGGTGGCTCGGCACAGTGATGGGGACAGCCCCAATGCCTCTTAGCCAGGAGACCTCCTGGTCTCACGTGCTCCCGTCACAACAGGCTGTGCCATGACTTGCGAAGAATTTAGGATAAAGCGGTGGGAACCGTTGCTTTGCAGGCTTGGACATGTTTCTGCCCTGGCAAGAGGAGAAATGTTTTCCTCACCCATGCGCATGGCAGATTGCCCAGGGCAAGCGATCCAGGGCTTCGGCCATGATGCTTTTGAGTTGGGGTTGGGATGGGGACAGAGAGGCTTGAATTCAGCATCCTTTGGCCACAGGAACTCGTCACCTCCTCCATGTAGGGTTTGATGGTGGAAGTGCTCGGTGCTGAGCTCTGATGAGAATACACTCACATCTTAGCTTGGTGGGCTTGTTTGGGGGGAACACAGAGCAGGGGACAAGCTTTGCAGTGCTCCTTCGCTTTATGTAGCATCAACCCAACCACCTTAAAAATAGCTTCTAGTGTAAGAGCTGTCCTTGACCTGGTACAATCCATGTGGCCTGAACACCTCTGGTTGGCAGAGCAGCATCTTGACACTCTTTGGTTTTGTGTGACTCCAAAATACCCCAAATCCATGCTGCTTTAATTGTCCTATGTTTTTTTTCTTTTTTTAATGGATGTCTCCCCCCTGTCCTGGAACTTGCTGTCACCTGCTGTGTGCTGCTCCATGGACAGGACACCTTGGCAGCCCAAGAGCTGCTGCCCTTGTACGGACAGCTTGAACCCACTCCAAGGTTTCTCTAGGTTGGACTGCCAAATATTTGGGATTTTTTTTGATATGGACTTGGGCTCCTACCTCTGAGGTACCAGCTCCTTGATGTTTCAGCCTAGAGGGGGTTACAGAAACATAACATGCTGGGGAAATTGAGGGGTCTTCCAACAGGGTTTTGAATTAGAAATCTCAGAGCCCAGTTCCCTCTCAAGAATCTTGGGAGAGTTGAGGAAAAGTTGGAGCCCAGTAGACACATAGCACCAGAGTGAGGCCTGAGTGGCCAAGGGCTCAAGGTTTGGGCTGGTTTTTGGATCTCTGCTTGTACACTAATCCTTGTCTCACCTCAGGTGCCAAGATGTTGAAAAGGAGAGCCTTAAAAATTTGATGTATTTGTTGATTCTGTTACTGCTCCAGTTGTCTCCATTGGGTCTTGGCAGATGTCATATGCCCCATGGCTTTGGCTACAAACCACTCACCTTATCCTGCCCTTTTCTGCAAAGGCACAAACTTGGTTTTATACCTCCTCATCCCTATCCACCTCTCTCACCCCCTCCATGGAAAACCACCATCTTTCCATGGGTTTTGCAGGGACAGGGCTCCAAACTGGTAGCAAGAGCTTTGGAGACCCAAGGGATGGCAAAGCAGAGGCGCCCTAACCATCAAACCAAGAGCTTGTAGGCTTTGCCCAGGAATCAATGGCTGAACCTCGTGTGGGGGGAATAAATCTGAGTGAGAATTCATAGTTGTGTCCTCTCACCAGTGGTACATGTGTGCCCTTATCTGCGTTGCAGTTAAGAGATTCGCGTGTCCCTTCTGTTCTCCATGTTTGCCAGACGTATGGAACGCATAGTGGGGGCAGCGGTGGGAAGGAAGGCAACATGGCCATCGCAAATGGCCAGCTCTTTAAGAAAGGTCTGGTGACATGTATTTGAAGACTTTGCATTTGTGAATTCATAATATGAGTCTTGCAATAAGGCTGACACTGTGGTGCTTGGGCTGAGAGCTTCAGATGAGGATGTTTATGAGTAACAGATTTCCCGAGGAAGCAAAAGAGTCTTGCCCTATCTACAGTAGAACGAGTAATTTTCTTCTTTTTTTTTTTTTTTTTCACTGGGTTTGTTTGGTTTTTATTAGTCTCAGTGGGAAGGCGCACAGGGAGATTCGTGACTTCCATGCAGTTTCCAGGGTTTTATATCTTACTTGCTTCCAGCAGGCTGGGTAGGTGCAGTTTGGTGGGTGGATTTGGATGAGATACTGTCTGGTGGGAGAAAAATGTGGCTGGTTTCTTTGCGCAGCGGGGGGTCACGGGCCGGCTGCGGTCCCGCTCGCAGGCTCTGGCAGACATTCCCGGGAAGGGGGGTCATTTTCACCGCGCTCGGCTTCCCTTTAGACGATGATCTCCCAATGAACTCTCAACTTCCCTGCTGTTTCTTTCTGTGCAACAAAGAACTGCATATTTTCCTTTTTAACTCTGTGGGCAATCGTAGTAGTATGTAGATTAAGCCCAGATGACTTTTTTTTTTTTTTTTTTTTTTTGGTCTGAGCCATAGCTAAATTATTATACCCAATGCTTTTTGTATCAGACGGCATCACTTTGAATATGCAGATGAGGTATAGGATCTTGACACTTTATAACCTTTTTAAAAAGAAACTTGTCTGTTTACTTACATCTTGTGTAAAAAGGAAAAAAAAAAATGTATGCCTTTTAGTAATCACTTTTTTTTTTTTTTGAGTTTTATGAAATTACAATGGTTTCACTCCAGCAGCGAAATAAAAAGCGTTCACTGTTTTGTACATCCCCGTGTGCTGCAGTGCTGCTAATGGGGGAGTTACCAAGATGGGGGAGGCAAAGGCAGAGCCAAACTCTGGCCAAGGGGTGGTGGGAGAGGTGCATGGGGGGATGTCGTGGTCCTGCTGCTTCCCCTTGCCTGGAGACAGCCCACTCCCATCCCACCCCAAATGTGTCCCAGCTATATTCTCTTCCCTGGGTTATTTTCCTCCTCTAATCCCATTCCCCTTTCCTGGGAGTTCCCGGGACAGACAGTGGAGGTGGCTGGGAAAGGGTTGGACCTACTGCGATTAGATGATGGGCTACAGCCAAATTAGGCAAAGTAGAGCCCAGGGCAGACAGAATTGATTTGCCCATGCCAAGTC